GCAACAACAACAACAACAATAATAATAAAAGTAACAACAGCAACAACAACAACAACAATAATAATAAAAGTAACAACAGCAACAACAACAGCATCAACGTAAATAACAACAACAATACCATCAACACGGTGTGGTCATGCTGTCATCTTTGCCCTATAGGTGGCGCCACGCCTTGAGAGAGGGAGGCGCTGGCTCCGCCGTTGCTGTGCGCCGTAATTAAAATCCATTAAGTTCTCGTAATTGAAATTTCATTGTAATTTCCCAAATTAAAATTCCTAATCAGCATTCGTAATTGTTTCTTTCGCGCCGACACTTGCGATTAGTAATGATAACGATCATCAGCGACCCTTGTCGTTCTTAATTGTTTTGATAATTGGTGTATCCACCCGGCTGATGGCCAGCTATATAGACAATCATTGTTGCAACTAGATGTTCTAAAATAACAAGTGAATCAAAGTTCAATATAACTGGTCGTATATATGTATAAACTAGTCTAGCCTCGATCTAACAACAATGTCCGAGGAGAAAGGTTGGTTACATCTACGATTCTCGTAATGTTAGCAAGCCCCCCGGCTGATATATTCCTCCCCGCTCCCTCATTCCCCCAGACGCGTGTTTGCGTTGATGGGGTTCTCGTAATTAACGTCGCCGTGTTAACGATGTGGATGCTGCGCACGCAGAACACGCTGGATGGCAAGGAGCCGGATCCCTACGTGAAGCTCTACCTGCTTCCGGACCCGACGAAGATGACCAAGCGCAAGACCAAGGTCGCACACAAGACCTTCCATCCGACGTACAACGAGATGGTGAGAGCTCTCTCATTGTCGCTCTCTGTCTCTTTCTATTTCTTTCTTTCTCGTATTGTCCCCTCTGTCTTTCTTTCTCCCATTGTTTGTCCTCTCTCACTTGTTTTATCGCATACCCTGGCACTTTCCTTCCTTCGTGATGACTCTCTGTCCCTCTCTTACTCTCTCTGTCTTTCTCTCTCTATCTCGCTCTCTCTCTCTCTCTCTCTCTCTCTCTCCCTCCCCCTATCTCTCTCTCTCTCTCTCTCTCTCTCTCTCTCTCTCTCTCTCTCTCACTCTCACTCTCTCGCTCGTGCGTGCCAGTCACCATATCATGGCTAGGCGAGACACGGGTCACCACGCTACCACGTCGCCGTAACAACAGCGTTCTGCTGTCGTTCCTCCTCGTTCTCTCCCACACAGATCATGTATCGTCTGCCGCTCGACGTCATCGGCACGCGCACGCTGTCGGTGACCGTCTGGAACTACGACATGCTCAAGGAGAACGACTTTCTCGGCGCCATCTACGTGAAGCTGGACTGCCTCAACCTCGCCGACGACACGACCGACTGGTACGAGCTGCAGAACCTCATCCGCCGATGATGCTGATGCTGATGCGAGCGGGAGGCTGAGGAAGCGCGAAGCCATGTGTAAGGAGGAGGAGCACATCATCGATGACGTAACCACGGGTGAAGGAAGGCCGTGGTCGAAGAAGCCACACGGACTTCACACGGGCATGCCGGGATGCGCCGCGGGGAAGCTGCGCACGCGCTAACGAAGCGCTGACGTTCGCGGACAGTAGCAGACGGAGATGCTTGCAATGCGAGGAAGCTGGGAGCGCGGCGCCGTGGCGATGCAGCGCTCGTTAGCAGCAGCAGGTAGCGCAGAGTTCGGGGGCGAGCGACGAGCGGTGACGATGCGGCGAGCTCGACCCGGAGTCAGGGTGCCATGGTAACACCGGTGGCTGGTCGTTAAGGCTCCGCACGCCTTGCTGATTAAATATAGGCGGCAGTGACACAATGCCTGCCTCACCGGGGAGGGGGAGGGGAAGGGGGAAACTAGGGAAGGAGTTAGAGAGCCAGCCCTACCTTTCCCAACGATGAGATCCGCTGTGCACTGGGCGACTCCAGCCTCGTTCTCGGCGCGCACCGAGAACTTTCCGGAGTCCTCCTTGAACGCCTCGGTCACGATGAGCGAGTGCAGATCTCCGTTCTGGGTGACCTGGAAGTCTGGCGTGCTCTTGATCGGCACGTTCTCGCGGTACCACGTCACTGACGGCTCGGGTATGCCCGTCACACGCACGTCAAAGCGCAGGTACTCACCCTCCTTGATTACCTTGCTTTGCAACTTCTGTACGAAGTTAGGTGCGACTGTGTGGGCTGAAAGCAAGAACAGAAAAAATCTTTGATTCTTGTATAGTTAATTGTTTTAATTATATTTATTGTCAGAGATAATTGCTTCACGTAAAAATTTGTAATTTTCGTTTAACAATGAACTCACATTGATCATTTATTAAGGTTTTTGGCTTACTAAATTATTAACCGATATCAATCCAGTGTAATGTTTGACAACCATAACATTACATTGTAATCAACATATGATGTTATGATTATGTATTAATTATGTAAATTAACATTATTAATAATGTATTACACCCAATCTAACGAAAGCAAAACTTTTTTTAAACAATCAAAATGTACTTTTAGTTATAGCTGTTTTAGGTTTGTTAGATAATCATCGCCAATATAAAATGGAAGCATTCCTGTCATACTCATACAAAAAACTTGGTGCACACATTTCCAAAATTCTTCAAAACGAGTTGGCAACTTACTCATTTTGTACAGTTAGTACCCGACACCCATGTTGTTTTGGACTAGTGCTGTTGGTTTACACAGTGACAGTTGCAAACATGTGGATTATGTTAGTTGGCAACAGTTTCTAAATTTGGACGCTGTGCAGGCTGCACTCTCCAGCACTCCCCGTATATATATACTCAACTTATCTCAGCAGCTTTCAAAAGAATTCCAACACCCGCCACCACCACCACGCACCACCGACTACATCCACAGATGATACTCGTAGAAAAAACTCGCAGTTACAGCTGTGATGCCAACGATAAAAAAATTCGCGTAATTGGGCCCCGCAGCCACCGCCGTCGCAACACGCGTCAGCATGCATCAATGGCGACCGCCTACCTTTCACGAGAACCTCAGCGCTGCTGGAACTGGTTCCAGATGGATTCTCGGCCTTGCAGGTGTACTTTCCGGCATCGTCCAGGCGTGAGCGAACAACGCTCAGCGACACGTGCCCATTGTAGGTCTGATAGGAGATCTGATAGTAGGGATTATTGGTGATCTCCACGCCATCTTTGTACCAAGTCACTGTCGGGGTCGGTTGACCTGCGAACGGGAATACATATATCGGTGTTACGTCAAAGCAAAACACTTTCGAAGAATTTATTTCGAAGAGTTTATTTATGCCTCGGTGCATCCTGGCGAGCGTCATCCACTTTGCTTTACCTGTCACTACTCCCTCGAGTAGAATTCTTTCGCCGTCCGTCGCAGCCTGGCTCTTGACCGGCTGGCTGAACGTCGGTGGCACTTGCGGGCCACTGGGCCTAGCAGTAGCAGCCACAGTGAACTGGTAGTCTTGATACTTCGGAGCCTCAATGGGTTTCGGTGCCTCGTGCGCAGCGGGCCAGCTCAGCCTTCCGGCGGGGCGGACGGCTACGTACGGCTGGCTAGTCGCACCCTGAGCGCTGCTACTTGTCATGGATGATGCAAATGCCTGCTGTGACTGCTAAAAGAATAGAAATTGACTCGCCTTAGAACTTCCCGCTCACGTATTTATATTTAAACACGCAATGATTTGTTACAAACGGTCTGCCCACGTGCCATTGTGTATACACTATAACCGTTCATTTTTTCAAACCATAATAGCATCGCCTTCGATTCAATGCAAACGAATGTAACAACACTGTCACTTGCGTTACCACATACAGATAACTAAACATCACCTCATATCAAACCGGACTTGTGTTAATTTAGTAGCAATACCTGCATAGTGGCGTCGGTGGTGGTACCCCACGCCTCACTACTGCGGCTCCTCATCGAGCTGGACTTGTGCACCTCCCAGTCAGAGTAGCTGCTCCTTGCCTCGTGGTGGTAGGAACGACCATCCGACATCTGCATCGGCTGGCTGTAGACCGCAACTCCTGTCGGCGCTGAAACATCGCACGGAAGCCAAGTTACGAACTCCGGCCAATTAATCCTCGTTCACTCGTTAACTCGTTAAGGTAAATTGAAATGCGTTCTTAATCGCAATGCAATTTTAGCTTGAGACGCTGATGAAATACTTCAACAGAAGACGTTCACAGCCAGATATTGATATCAGTTTATATGTATACGTATTTATATATCAAAAAACAAAAAATATCATTGCAATTCCGTTTGACTTGTATTTTTTCGTTTTCTCAAGTGACTTCTATTTTACTACAAAAATGGTTGTTAACCCAAAACCAACTTTTCAAACCACTTTTCAGACAAACAAAGACAATCAACACGCTACTACAGGAGCGCATAGTAGATGCCCAATGTTAATGACAATTCAAACAACATTTCTGACTTGTCAGCGAGAATGAACAGTATACATACTCTATAGTATATATATATATAGTATATAGACATAGTAGAGACGTACGGGTGGCCGCTAGTTGTGCAGCACATGTCGCCTTTCCACTGGTGTTCTCAGCTGAGATGGAGATGCGACCGGCATCTCCAGCTTGAACGCTGGGTATGGTCAGCGAATGCTTGTCTCCTTCCATGTCAATCCTGAAACGCACCACCCACGAGTAAGTTCTCGTCCCCGCGAAAGTCGACCCGCAAAAATTCCTGGATGATCGTGACTTAACCACGAAACGATGAGAGTAAGTGTGCCAGGCTCCAGAAGTGATTTTCGAATAACAATTCATGTATAGTTGCTTCATCAACACTACATTCCAAAATAATAATTCCGGATTTTCGATGTGATGTATGCAGTTGTTTGCATGCATGCATTAATCACTGCAATAAGTTTTTCACGAAAATGTCAGCGTTTTTTCGCCTTAACATCCGTAACACAAAACTGCTGCATCGATTACTAGAATCTATCATCTTTCGACACAGATATTCAAAGCAATCACCGAACTATAAGTGACTATGCTGATACATGCCACATACACATACCGGCTATGACCAAAAAAACGCGCACTTCGAGCCAATTAACTTCTAAACGACAAAAAGTGAGCCATAGCGCAGAGCTGCTAAGCTTCACCAGCTGACAGCATCCTCATCGCACAAGCATCACGAATCATCCGCTAGCGCAACCGAAGCAACCAACGCGACGCGGCGACAAGACTCACCTCCAGTTCGGGTTGGTTATCGGGAATCCATTGTGTGTCCACTGTACTCTGGGTTTCGGTGATCCTCTGACAACACACTCGAATGTGACTGTGCTGTTCTCCGGGGCATGTGTGTCCCGGAACAGCTGCACAAACTCCGGTGGGTGTCCTGTCTCTACTGGTGCCACTGGCATCTGAACAGGAACAATCAGAACAACCAACGTTAGGATGCTCGGCGGTAAAATAATATATAGCGATCGCGCTCGAAAACACCTGAAGTTATACTACATCTAAAACATGTTCAGAAAACGTGAAGCTGCAACTTGCCATGCCTAGACGATGCTCGGTATCCGACTCACATAGCCTTAACACGAACAAACCAGAGCTCTGCTTGGAATGCTCACGGAATCTCGACTGAAGCCTGCTACGCGTTGCTGACAGCACCGACTCCCGGATAATTGGGATGATGCCAACGGCGCAGCTAACAGAATATTTTAGACAAACATATCGCCTTACCTCATGACCCACACGCAAAAACCAGAACGCAAAATATTCAGTAAGGAACTCGTGTAAAACCACCAAATTCTAAAGCAAAACTGAATTTAGAACAAAGGTAAACATCCAAGTATTCGATATTTTCACTTGTATACATTGAAGAAGAGGTGTGATGATAGCTGTTATGACAGATACAAGTATGACAGACAGCATCTGTTTCACAGCACAACTAAACACCTAATAGTTCGTAAACACTTCAGTTAAGTTTACTTAAATTTAATCCCGTTCATTAGAGTAACAGCATGTTGCAAAAACACGTGACTGTAACTCATTCGATGTATTTAAAACATTTTGCTTTTACTGATATTGTTATAATATATATATATATATTCACATGTAATTCCCATGAATCCATGGCAAATGCCCACAAGACAAATACTAAAAAAAATGTTTACAACAATAATAAAAAAGAAAAATTCTCACACAAAAACGTTAAAATGCACATAAACATAAATTAGAAAATATTTGAAAAAACGAATTGTTTCTTTAGCGACTTTTGTAGTTTATCATGCACACCTCAGATTAACATTTCAGATAGCATTTAGCGTTTCATTTCACATTCTCAGATAATATCCTTAATTCTTCTCATTCTTCTTTAACTCTCACTTCCTTCTCCACATTACCATCCTTCTACATTTTCCTGCGACACGTGCAAAGTTAAAAAAATTTATCAAGATTACACAAAAACAAGTTGTGAGCATTTGTCTCTTCTTCTATTACCGTTGTGAACAACTGTCTTATGAGCACATGTTTTTGAGCATTTTCACATGTGGTTTGTGGACTACACAAATAAGTATATGCGCCGTTAAGAACCGACTTGAACACAATTTATTGCCCTAAATATACAGCGATTGAAAGGGAGTACTTGTGCTGGCTGAGTATATTTTATGCGGTACGTTTGCCAGTGTTGAAATAGCGTATAACTATAAACTTTTAAAGAGCATAACACGTGCATTCTTGTTACGGTTATAGACGCTTTCTTAATGATAACTCACACTTAAAGGATTATAAAAGTTTACAGAAACCATACTGTTACTCCAGTTGGAAAAATCTGGTACTCGTGCAATGCACGTGGTAAACTCGCTACAAAAATAAAAGCGAATTTGAATCCGCAGTTAGATATACACCCTCCGCTTTGGTCATTTCGTTAATTCTACTTAAATACGTCTGTGCGTGTATCGTGAGATTATAACGTATCGAATGTTGACGAAGCAATGTTTTCGTGAACCGCACACTTACCGCAACAGGTGTGATCGGTTCGGTTGGTTTTACGATGAGCAGCGCATAGCACTTAGCTTCTCCGGCAGTGTTGCTTGCCTTCACTACGTACTTGCCCGCGTCCTCCGAGAACACCTCGGGGATTGTCAGCGATATCAGACCAGTCACGTCCTTCTCAATCTGCACGAAATACATAACAATATAATAACACAAATTACATACAAATAAATAACAACACTAATTACAAAACATAACAATAATAATACTGCTACTAATAATAGGTATTATTATCATTATTATTATTATTGTTGTTGTAGTTGTCATTGCTGTTGTTGTTTTTCTAATCAATATCATCTTGTCATCTCTAGTAAGTCAACACCAGAAAATCGGGAACGATTTTTGACTTCTAATATTTATTTACCATTGCTTCGAATAAACCCGCGGAGAGAGTATAGCATTATACTCAAAAAACAGCAAGTAAACATAGCAAGTCTGCATACTTGATTTTTTCCCCTAAACAAATATGTGGGAAACTGGAATGCAGTAGCAGAGATGCATGTAGCTCTTAGAGAGACAGTGAGTGCACCCACGCACGACATAGCCAGACTAATGGCTTTGTCATGCATTCGCCGATAGACAGGCAACAGGAAACTCTGTTTGATTGATAATTAATTGGCCATTTATTGCGACACCAGTAACTTAATTATTCTCACGTAAACACCAAGATGGCGCTGGCGGTGACATTATTTTAAGTTTATGGGGCTCGATCTCGAATCGTAATATTTCGTAAAGCCTTGCTCACAATACAGTTCATTGCTCGCAGAGCACGCACAGACGTCAAGTCTCATGAAACCTTAGGAATTACCTAATATCTGGTCCGACCATTCAAAGCAACGCCACGCTCATATCGCTTTCGTGAGGGAAAGCTCATTACATGAAACTGTGCAAGGATCCACCCAGGCTGACCCAGCCGTCTCCACGCCCTGCACTGGCTCTTGCTGTTACGACACAGTTGCGTAAGCAATTGTGCGAAAGAGAACGATTCGCGGGTGTTTTGTAAACAACTTTCTGTGACTCCTGCTGAAGTCACCCTCACCATTAACAACGCAAACACAGCCAGACACCCATCTGCTGTTTGCGCTGGGTGCAGCAAGACGTGCCTGCAACAAGAATCTCTCTCTCTCACACTCTCTCTCTCTCTCTCTCTCTCTCTCTCTCTCTCTCTCTCTCTTTCTCTCTCGCTCTCTCTCTCTCCCTTTCTCCCACTCTCTCTCTCTCTCTCTCTC